AGCTCTTGCACACAGCCCACAATTCCTGGCACCCAGCATGTGGGAGAACTGGGTGAGCGGCAGGCAGCTGCTGCCGAGCTGGAGAGCCTGGGGGCCTCGAGGCCCCACGCCCAGAGCCAAGAAGCCTCCCCAGGACAGCCAGCCTCTTTCCCCAGGGCACCCGAACGGCTGAAGCTAGTGGCTCACCTGTCAACCTTCCCCAACCTGGTGCCCACCAATGAGGGCAATACCTCAGCAAAGGTGGTCAAAACAAGTAGGTCAACCTCCTGTCCTGCTGGAAGGTCTGCCAGCCGGACCCCAGGGGCAGTTGCCACCCCTTGGCAGCAAGGCTTGTCCTCTCCCGCCCAGCCAGTTTTCGCGGTGCTAATGGAGCAACTGGTGAGTTTGGCAACCAAGCCCTAATCCATTTACTGCCCTCAAAGTCCACCATATACGATTACAGGTTCCAATTTACTTCACCAGAAACACAAGCACTTTACTATATCCATGGGTACCAGCTCCCTTCTAGTTGCAGTTATCTGGTTTGCTGGCGCTCCTCAAAGGGATCTGCGCAGTAAAATCAACCCTTCTGCACAAGCAGCCCTCGGCCCCCACGTACACACCCACGGATACCTTGGCACACTGCCAATCAAAGGACAGACCGCTCCCCGAGTTGCACCTCAGCCTTACCTGGAAGCAGCCACCTGCGTTTTGGGCAAGCTACCCCATTGTTGGGGGCTGCCAAGCTTCCATGCCCCATTCACAAGACTGGCGGCACCTTTGAAATTCAGTGTGAGGCGGGGTGCAGCCACCTTTAAAATGTTGATGGAGTGAAAAAGAAGAGAACTGCCAAATACAGTAACGTGGAGGAGATGGACCCATTGCTTTCAGGGCGACCAACCAAGAATGAGAGATGAGTCTCAAAGAAACATCACGTGGTGGGAATCGCTGAGGGAAAAAGGAACGCAAAATTCCTATCAAAAGCACAAAACTCGGTGAAACCGCTGAAGCATCTTTTTTCAAAGCTGCAACAGCAGCAACTGCTTCTGTCAATAAGATGAACTGGCTGCCGAGTATCGGGGGCACCTCTCAAAGTTGGGGGGGTGAGCGGCTAGCAGATAAACAAGCAGCAGCAGCAGCAGGTTTAAGGTACCTTCAAAAAGGATATCTCAGAAAAAGAGAGGAGCCGAACACCACGCTGCGCTACAGAGGTCTTTGCCAGCAACACGGACTGAGAAATTCAGTGAAAGCGAACCAAGAGTTTTCCTTCTTAAGTACACGCTGCACGATGGCTCAGACAGAGCAACGGAGACAGGTAGGCCTCTGCCCTGATTACAGATGGGGCTGGCTGCCTGCCTCTGAATCCAGGTGCTGGGAGCCGTGGTGAGAGTGGTCCTGTGCCCTTCTCGTTCCCTCGGCATCTTCCCAGGCTTTCCCTGTTGCTTCCCACTGCTCTCCCCCGCCCCCCCCGCCGCCGTGTGCTCAATTTTAGCTTGCCTGTTCTGCAGGGCAAGAACCTGACTTCTAATGTAGCCGATACAGACTCGGCGCAATGACATTATCCTCCTTATTTAATAACCGTGCCCAGAGGACATGCTCTAGCAAAGACGGTAAGCAGTGCCACCCTGCAAAGGACTGGCAGTGGCCTGCCCAGACCTGTTCCACTGCTCCTCGCCTGGCGTGCTGCTATAACCTTTGGCCTGAGATTCTGCCAAGGGCGGGCTCTCCTCAGATCCTTCCGAAGCCGGGACACGGGCCCCTTTATGTGGCGATGGAGCCAACCCCTGGAGCAACCCACCACACCCTCCGAGGACCTCTGGCTCCGGCCACAGAGCCCACGCAGCTCCACTGGCCACGCACTTTGCCAGCTACTCTTTCTCCCCAGATTTTGGACCCCAAAGCGGAGAAACCTAATCCCTCCCAGCTGTCTGCATGAAGGGGAACCTAAAAGCAGCGGTGGCTTCCACACCATCACTCACAGAGCTGCCTTTCACACCTATTAACTTATAGTTCATATTAATAAGCTAATAAACCAGCATTGAGAATGCCTGGCCCCCAGCTACTAAGACAGGCTTGCATCAACTTCAGTTAACCTACATGGGATCCCCCCCCCCCCCCCATTGTGGCGTTCACATTTCCATGAAATGACTTATTCAAGGAGGAGGAGAAGACATTGTACCGAAGCCCCAAAAGCTGAGGAGGAAAGATCAGGGCAGGAACTGGCTTCGGGTCGGATGCAGAGAGACACTCCTATCCCATGGACAGGCATAAGGGCAATAAGCAAAGTATGCATTAACTTATAAACTACGCTTTGTGATTATTATTTTAATGTTCTATTACCATGAACATCATGAATATCATCATTACAACTTCCCATCTAAGTACTGTAAATATTGTTTTTACTGAAAGAGCTAATTCATGTTAAATAAAGTAAGCATAAGCCTGTTAGCCACACAGTTTAGGAACCTTCTCCATCAAATACAGGGAAAGGAGCTGCTTGGTCTTTTCCAGGGCCAACATATTTCAACCTCACCTGTCTTTTGCCCCACTTCTCTCCGCCTTAAAAGTTCTACAAGCCAGAACTGAGCGCTCCTCTAGTACATCTTCATCGGTAGCATTACCATTTTATTTTGGCAACCACAAAACTGCCCGTGGTGGCCGTTGTGCCCCAGAATCCCTAAGATGTATTTGGCTGGCGTTTTCTCAGCCAAAATCAACGACATTTTCCCCTTGGAACAGCCTCAACCACAGTCTGAGAAGATGCACAGAGCTCGCCACTGATGAGAGATGCTCTATGCCTGGGCCTGAATGACTGTAAACTTACTCACTGGTTTGACTGGTTTGGCTGGCCTGTGCATTCCTTCTGAGCTCAGTCCACCTGGCTTAATAGGTGATTTAACTCCTGCTCTGATGAGTAACTTACTATTTATGCAGCACCATCCAGGTACACAGTGCTTGGCAGGAAGACCTGGGATCAAATTTAAAGCAATTAGGGGATGGGCATGGCTTGAAGACTTGCATGGATGGGCAAAAGCAATCAGAACAAGGCCGGGGGGAACTTTGCTCTTCCTGCATCGCAGGATGTGGTGTCATGTTTCAAAAGTCTTCCATCAGAGCAAGCCACCCAGCCTTGGAAGAACTAAAAACAATTGCTTTAATCAATACAACCTGGGGTACAAGCATTTAAGCTATTAAAGCATTCTTTCTGAAGAAGCATTAATCATTTGCCAGCAAAACCCAACAGAAATAGAAATAAACAGATAAACAGAGATCCTTCTGACTAGCTGCCTTATTTCCTGCCATGACTGAGAAGAATTTCAGGATTTCTCTTCCTGAAACAGATTACAGAAATATTCTCACAAGAATTAAGGAAAAACAGCTTCCCTGCAAAGCAAAGACAACTTAAATTACCACTTTTTCCCACATTAGCCTCAGCACATATGAGTTCCCGGAGTCTGTTTTCAACAACCTGATGCTTGGGGTGATTTCGGTAGATGTTGTTCTTTTTCCATCCAATAAACCAGACTTCCACAACCTGGGGTCTGCCTGAAAAACCTACAGTAGGTCAGAGGTGTTCCTACTGGGCGATCCAGTCAGGAATGTTTGCTTAGGAGCACCCTCTTCCACAGCCACGCTATTTCCACAAGGGCCTCCAGGCCCGCCACGAGGAACAAATATTCCAGGATTGCCCACAAAGTTGAGAACTCATCACCCCTTCCCCAGGACTTCTCCTAACTGAGTCAGGGTCTAACCAGGACTACAGTCTCACCTTGCAGACCACCTGACTCTGGCTGGCCTGTTCATTTTGTGCCTGGATGCCAAGGAAGGGCCTGAAGCAGTGCATCTCCGTTGGGCCCAAACTCTATGGAATAAGCCCCTTCGCTGGCGATCCCGAGGATACTTGTCAACTTTAGGAAGATAGCCAAGCTTGGCCAGCTTCCCAGAGGAAAGGCATTTTCACCATCACCTTTGTTTACGCTCATTGTTTAAAGCCACTTAAGAAACTCTATTCATAACTATTATGATGTGGGCACACCTCTCAGCTGGCACCCATCACATGGGGAGAACTCCTGGGCATAAACTTCCAACTGCACCACAATTCCTTGGAGCAGAACATTTATGACCCATCAAACAATCATGTGCTGCAATCCCTCAATGGCAATTCCAGTTTAACTTAATTATTATATTCCACAGACAATCTTGAATGCATTTGAAACATTTAAGGTGCCTGGGGGAGAAGCACCTGAGAACCTCTACAGGAAATTTTCACACTCAAAGATGCAGCAGTGGAAAATTAAATCTGAAAGAATTAGACGTGGATGTAACACAGTCTGGTTGCGTTAAGTCCTGCCATCTGCCAAGGACTTTAGTTAATCCTACTTTATACAGCTCTTTTGGCGTACCAAATGTTGGGAGAGCACCTACCCTTTTAAAATAAGTTGCTCCGGCTCCATTTATCACACAAGGGACAGGTGTTCTCCTCCGTGATTTGCCAAAGCGGTTTGTGGCTAAACCTGAACGCAGCAAGCAAAGGCAGGAGGAGAGGAGAGATGCCGCTCAGGGAGCTGGAGTGAAATATTTAACTTGCAAACCGAGGTACTTGACTTTAGCTCCTTGCAGCGGCCCAAACTGCTCTCCGGCTGCATCAGGCTGGGCGTCCCACGAGCGCTCCCGCGGTGAACGCTCACAACCAGCCATGGCCCCGGCCAAAGATCGAGCCGATCCCGGCTGCTCCCCAAAGGCCCAGCAGGACCTAATCCGGGGAGCGGCTGGAGGGGAGACGGAGAGGAGCCCCGGGAGACAAGGCGAAGCCGCCCCGCTTGGACGACGAAGGGCCACGAAGCAGCTCGGAGACTTCGCTTTCTTCTTCCCCCGCGAGAAGCTCCTCTTGGCGGCCCCCCCACCTGTCAAACGCGTCCCTGCCCCCTCCCCTCCCCGGAGACCCGCGGGAAAGACGGGGCCCCGACCAGGCAGGCGCAGGCGGAGCAGCAGGGCCCCGGGACCCCGCCTTCCACGCGTTCCCCCCGGAGACCAGCCCCGCCCTCAGAGGGAAGCCGGAGCCCACCTGCC